TCAGAAATATATAGTTTGCACAAATGATACATTAGTCCTTACAGGAAAGTCAAGGAGGTAAGATAGGGATGACAAATTGCATTCAGTGGTACGAGCCTCTTACTGACTCTCAAGAAGATCAAGATGCTGCCACTAGAGGAAATGATTTTATGCTTGGATGGTAACTCAATATCCTGACAACAATCACCCAAATTAGTTTCTTCTTAATTTATTATTGCACTCTTTTTATAATTTTTATGCTCATCTTGTGGAATGACATCATCTAAAAGTTTGAGCAATCAGAGAGCGAGATATAATTTTGTATTAAATTCAGTATTCAACAAACACAAACTACAATAACTCTAATTTTTCTTTTTTGAAATTTTGTGTTCTGAAGGTTTGTAGAACCGATAGTAACTGGAGACTATCCAGAAAGTATGATAACAAATGTTGGTGACCGTCTTCCAAAATTTACAGAAAAAGAGGAGAAGCTAGTGAAAGGATCATATGACTTTTTAGGCATAAACTATTATACGGCCAATTATGCTGCTAATGAAACAACAAAGCCAACAACTGATAGTTATCTCACCGATTCGCATGTTCAGCCATCATGTAAGTATTAAGACCTGTTATGGGCACAGTTGTAACGTTTGTCATCACAAGTTAATTAGATACTACTGGAACGTGATACTATTTACTCCTTTTTTTTTTTAGATGAACGAAATAAGGTACCCATTGGTGCAAAGGTATGCTTATAATTTTGCCATTTCCTCAAAAATAAAATATATTTTAACAGCCTATGGGAGTGCAACTTTAATAATTTATAGAAATCATTGCCAAAATGAATACTTCCTTTGGTTTATTTATTGCTTATTATGCTTATAAAACAGTATGTAAAGTAATTAGAATTTTCTTTTATTCAGGCTGGTTCAGATTGGTTGTATATAGTTCCATGGGGAATTCAAAAGCTCATGCTTGACATGAAGAAAAGATACAATGATCCGATCATTTATATTACAGAGAATGGTTGAGTTTAATTTATTATGTCAACTATAATTTATAGAAAGACATGTATATAATGTTGACTAATATTAATTTGCTGAAAATAGTATCTCCACGATTTATGTACTTGCAGGGGTGGACGAAGTGAATGATAAGTCCCTAGCTTCTACACGGGCTCTCTCTGATGAGATGAGGATTCACTATCACCAAGAACATCTCTACAACCTTAAGCAAGCAATGAAGTAATTAAATAATTTAATTTGTTGTTCAAATTAATTTAATTATGAATGTATTTACTATAATTTATTAACTCAATTTGTGTTAATGATTTTTCTTTTCTTTTTTAGTCAAGGTGTAAATGTGAAGGGTTATTTCATATGGTCTTTGTTTGACAATTTTGAATGGGCTGCGGGATATAGTGTCAGATTTGGCATTATTTACATAAACTTTGAAGATGGCCGTTTTACAAGGTTGCCAAAAAGCTCAGCTGTATGGTGGAGGAATTTCCTCAGCAAGAAGGCTGTAATTCCATCGCAGAAAGAAGTTGAGAAATCTGAAGAACGTCGTAAAAGGCTAAGAAGCGGCTAATTATGTTTAAAAAAACTAGTGCTTCCTTAATGTTATGCTGAATGATGCACTGTTACAGATGTTGCATCTAGTTTGTTTCCTTTCTTCTTCTTTTTTGTGGGCTGAGAAAGCCATATTTCAACTTGCACTTGTTATGCTCAAATAAAAGGACCTGGCCAGTGAGGTTTCAGGTCAAACTCTCGTGTTGATTGTTTCGGTTTGTGAAATAAAAGATTTGGGACTGCCATGTTCCAGTTCTATTATTCCTGTTCTCTTTAATTCTATAAAAATTGTTTCTAAAAGGGACATCGAAGAAACACGAAATCAAATAAAAGAAATTAAACATTTCCCTCCTAATCTAATGCAATTCTTGACTGGGAAAATCCTTTGGAAATAATTATGTTCTTCAACTTTCATTTTAATCATCCTCATTGCCGTCAATGTTTCTGTATGGGGATCGAGTTGGACACTGGTTTGGGACTAAAATATTTGGGACTGCCATGTTCCAGTTCTATTTAGTAAATACATCTATTATTCCTGTTCTCTTTAATTTTATAAAAAATGTTTCTAAAAGGTAAATCGAAGAAAAACAAAAAACAAATAAAATCAATGAAACATTTCACTCCTAATCTAATGCAATTCTTGACTGGAAAATCCTTTGGAAATAATTATGTTCTTCAACTTTCATTGTAATCGTCATTGCTGTCAATGTTTCTGTATTGGGATTGAGCAGCTTAAATGTGGCGGTGGAAGTTTAGCCTTTTAAATAGATCAGAGTCGGATGGTTTACCCTGAGTGATGTGAGTTGGACTCTGATTTTCTTTCCAAGTTACAACAGATTAAGAAAGAATTTAGAAAAATTAAGCTAAAAAAGCTTTATTACTTTAATATATTAGTTCTGTTACGGGTATCCTAACCCATGGGCAGACGCAAACTTTTTATGTGGGAGGCACAATCAAACTTTCAAANAAACATTTCCCTCCTAATCTAATGCAATTCTTGACTGGAAAAACCCTTTTGGAAATAATTATGTTTCTGTTACAACATATTAAGAAATAATTTAGAAAAATTAAGCTAAAAAAAGCTTTATTACTTTAATATATTAGTTCTTATGGGTATCCTAACCCCACAAAGATCGAATTTGATGGTCTAAAAACCACCGGAGTTGCTTTTCCATAAATACAAGCAAAATAAAATAAAATAAAATAATACATACAAATGTATGCATAAGTGAACCTATAAGTGTGTGCCTAAATGCCTGCGGACGAAATACATTATTTAAAATAAAAAACCACAGGAGTTGCTTTTCCATTTTAATCCATGCTTTTAAAGTGTCATGGAGTTTCATAATTAAATAGAATAATCGACTCTTAACTATAAGGTAAATATAAATATGGTGCTTCACTAATGGAATGACAGAAAATAAAAAAGGTCTAAACTTGGTTTGATAATTGATCAAAGTCCCCTATTTAAAGTTAATTGTTGATTATGACATAAATTAAAATTTTAATTGTCAAACCATAATGAATTTGTACCTTGTGAATATCATTATCCAACTACTTTATTATAAAATTTAAGACATGACTAATTCATACGTAATGTTTCAACCGCACAAATAAAATGGTGAATCCTAATATAAAATATAGTAATTATTTTTGGACTTACATCTCCTCGTATATGTTAGAAATTAATTGGTTGGATGTTCACTGTGAAAACGTAGAGAAAATGAAGTCATTGATTTGTAATGGATGAAGTCATGAATTCAATTTTCTTGGTGTTGATTGACGGGATTTTGTTTAATAATTTCACGCGTTCCAGAAAGGGTTGAATAAATATTTATGAAAATTGTTCCTTGCAATCATATCCTTAACTACAAACTGATATGATCTTCATGTACGAAAGGGAAAGTGACATACCCTTGTGCCCACAGAAGGAGAAAGCAATTACATAGATAAAAAAACGTGATGATGCTTTAAAGAGCTTAAGTGAGAGCATACGGACGAGACTGCTCTCAAGTTAGGGCTAGAAGTTTTTGTAACCCAAGTCATGACGAAGAAAAATTCTCACAAACCCTGAATTCAATCTATTTTTATACGGTATTACGATGTTGTTTGCTATGTCTTTCCTTCCAAAATGTTCACGTTAATCAAGTGACATGAATATTCTGTTGCCAAATTTTACATCATACATGCTATATATATATATATGTATGGCAAACCATTTTTTACTAGACAATCCATTTTAATCCATGCTTTTAACACAATAATTGAATTACGTAGAATTTAAGCTAAGTAAACAATTTCATTCTTGAACTTGCTCTTTCCCAATCAAATTTTCCTATCCTACTTACACTACTTCAACGTGCCCCTAAGCCCCTGTTTGTACCTTTAAAATATCGCATTAAAATCTAAGCCAAAGTCAATAATTAATTTTAACCAAACATTTAATAGGATCCGCAACTCTTCGACCATACATTCCATCAATTTTCATCAAAATCTGCTAAAATTCTTATTTAATCTCTACCAAATCACTTCTTGCAACAA